AATTAAATGTTTATTTCTTTATGAGTTTAAACTTTATGAATATGAATTTATATTTCATTGTACCTTCACAAGCAGAACCTTTACCATCCATTTTTTAGTAGAGAAATTATTACTTCTAAATCTTCTATAGGCTAATAAGTTTGTTATTTCAGTTGTTCTTATCGGTGACTCTGGAGTAGGAAAAAGTAATCTCTTATCAAGATTTACAAGAAATGAATTTAACTTGGAATCGAAATCAACTATAGGAGTTGAATTTGCAACGCGAAGTATACAAGTAGATGGAAAAACTATCAAAGCCCAGATTTGGGATACAGCTGGACAGGAACGTTATCGTGCTATTACGTCTGCGTAAGTTGAAGTTAATAAAAAAATGAAGCCACTGTACTATAATCTCCCATGCAAAATGATAAAATATTGTAAAATGGCATACCATTTTGGTAATATATTATACTATAAAAACAATAAAAATATATAATTCGCTAAACTTAGAAAATATAGATTACATAGTTTGTAATTGTATCTTTCTTGGAAATGTTAGATATTATCGTGGTGCAGTTGGAGCTCTGTTGGTATATGATATTGCAAAGCATCTGACATACGAAAATGTGGAAAGATGGTTGAGAGAGCTGCGGGATCATGCTGATCAAAACATTGTAATAATGTTGGTTGGAAACAAATCTGATTTGAGGCATCTACGTGCAGTTCCCACTGATGAAGCGAAAGGATTTGCAGAAAGAAATGGCCTGTCTTTTATTGAAACTTCTGCTTTAGATTCCACTAATGTAGAAACTGCGTTTCAAAATATATTAACAGGTATTGTCATGTTTTACTTGTTTTATTTAATTCGAAGACAATAAAATTTTTAATGTACAAACCTATAAGCTTTCCTTGGTGATATTATCAATAAATTTCACATTTTCTTTTAAAACAATATTTCCATGCTAAATCAATCACATCTTTATTAAATTTTGTGTAATTGTAGCAATACTTCTGATAGCTATTAGAAGAGAATATATGTGATTAAAAGTACATGATGTCACATAAAGTTTAATCATTACAGAAATCTACAGAATCGTATCGCAGAAACAGATACGCGATCCACCAGAAGGTGATACAATCCGGCCACAAAACGTAGAACCTATCGACGTGAAGCCAACAATGAATTCAGAGGGAATGCGTAAACAGTGCTGCCAGTGACTCACCTTGCTGCTTAAAATGTGTGTACATGCAAATACAGTATCAATATCACGGGAGTACACTCGAATAATACCTAAGTTTCTAAGAAAAAATTTAGTCTATGGTCCAGCAAAACGTGAAAAGCTAAATGAAAGTTTCTGGGATAATTCTTTGTACGATAGCATAGTTTTAATATAAGAAAACTATGATTAGTTAATTATAAATATTAAGTTGATTTGTAAATTGAGTTAATTTTGACATACATCAAAATTAAATATTACTAAAGATACTTTTATTATGTATTTTTTCTTCCAATATTTGTTACTGGCTGTTGTTTTAGTTGTTGTTTATAATTTTATGTTTGAGAGTACACACAAGTGTATAACGCTATTCTCTCTCGATATATATGTCGTACAGAGTTATTAATTAGAACAAAATAGACTGAATAACATATTATACAATACTAAACTTTATGTTCTATAGGATTTACTAAAAAAAATACTATTTTCACGAACGGCAATAGATGCTACTCATATTTTGTTGCATCAACATATTTGCTTTTCTTGAATCGATACTTTTATATTATAAACAAAAATTTAATTCTTTTAAATTGAATACTATACTCGTCAATGCAAGAAGAATAACTCTATGAATGGTACGCTTCTTTTCAATTATATGTCTTGGAGCCTTTCGTCTGTTATTCATGTCGTTTATTTTCATGAGTACTACTTTTTTAATGTTTTATTGTATAAATATAAATATATATATTTCAGATGTGTATGTACATGTGTAATACACGGACATGTTTTGTGAAAATGTTAATTTTTAAGAAATATTTATGAACTGATAGCTTTAAACTTGTGAACTTGGACACACTCGAATTATTTTAATTGAAGCATAAGAAATTTTGTGTATAGTGTAGATGGCATTCCTTTTTTACGTGTAACTCGGATGCTAAGGGTTTACAATGGATTTGTTTAAATTAGCGGTAGTAGTGTACAACTTTCGACTGAATAAATGTTTGTTTCGATGATTCAGATACTTTCGTGTTCTTGCGACTCACTTACTATGCGCAAGTACATTGTTGCACGATGTAGAACACTCGTAAAGCCAAAAAGTATACAATTGATGAAACGTATGATTCAATTATTTTTTCTGCTTACCTTATTCATCGAAATTCTTAATAGTGAATCACACATACTTATCGGCTACGTAGAATTTTCTTGTTTCGTTTGAGTTCCGTGAATGTTGCACAGAGCTGATTAGATTATGTCTTCTTTTTTGGTTTGATTCTTGCTGACCTTAAGAATGAAGAATGTGATTACAGTCATTTCTGACTGTAATGGCACCAATGAATTTCACCGAGCACTTTTAAGACTCTATATATTGACGAATCAGTTATGAAGACAAAAGAAATCATTGCTCTCTTTTTGTTAATTTTTTAAGACATTCTTCGAATAAAGAAAAGTGCGGAAAATAATTTCATCTGTTTTGCAAGTCGTTTCTATTACAGTTTCTCCTATCTGCGAGCATTCAGGATCATTATGGTATAATAGTAACATCATTAGTTGCGTAGTGTAGTGCTTATAATAACCGGGGTTGCGTGCATTTTGTTTTTGCAGAAGGACATACAAAGAGGCAAAGGAGAAAAGAAAAGTGGTCGACGGTAAACGTAACAGGTGCATACAGTACAAGTGTCAAGACTATTTACGACTATAAGTATATACACGACTAAAGTCTCCCAAATAATCCGTGGTGTCAAGACCGGTTAGAGCTCTCCTTTTTCTGTCGCTTGGAAGCGGATTTCTAGATAAGTGGGCTGCTGCAAGCCGTACTTAAAGACTTATTTTTTCACATCCTTCGTTCTTGGTCGCTTAGCTTCGATGAAAACTACCCGAACCTACGTATTTTCTCTTCACGAGACAAGTGGACCTGTTCATTACTTTCTAAGCGGCCCACTCCTCTTTTTGCATAAGCGAACACGAGAGAAATTCACCACGAATTCCCTCGGATTATTTCGGAGAGTTTAACATGGTAAATGTCGACGCTAGAAAATCATGACGAAGAGAACAGGATACCTAGCGACATGTGTGCACAGCCAAGCGAATTACGATCATGCAACCTAAGGACGTTATTGGGAATAAATTCCTGCAAGGAAGAAAATACACACGCACTTATCCTGTCCCCGAAGTTCATGCGACCTCTCCCTTATTCTCTCCTTCCCCCAAAAACCTCTTTATCCTCTCTTCCTTCCACTCCCTATCTTTATCTCTGATACGTTACGATAAAATCAGTGTCGTATTACTGCTTCTTTGTAATACATGTGCAATTCTACTCAACGCGTAGTAAGCGATGAAATTCTTGGCCAAACTTGAACAGTGTTTCTACCTCTTGTGAGGATGAAAAAGCTTAAAGCAAGGTCTGCGAAGACTAACAAAAAGATTCTTCGATGCACGACAACTGTCGTTTATCTTACGAATAAAAATTGTGGTTTTTAATGTTAATACTCCACTGTGCGATAGATAATGTATTACCCAAGAGAACAAATCACTTTAAACGGAGTCATTCGAAGACTTAAATAGGTCTTCTCATCCTTGCATTTGGCCATATGTTTCAGGAACAGTCTATAGCATAACACATGAACTTTTACGGTTTAAGTATAAAAGTGCACAGCAATAGTGGAAACCAAAAGAATGATATAGAAAAAAGCTTACTATTGAATGTACAAGTTTAAAGAAAGCATCAACAAACTGGCTGAACTGGGATACACACTTTATTATTGCTCACTCTCTGCTTTGAAATTCACATCTAGTTAGGCGCTGAATTTGAAGTGCGACAAGACGCTTGCCCACTAAGCGCTTTCGGGAAAGGTACCTTTTATTTCTCTTCTTTAAATGAACAAAAATGAGACGAAAGGAAAGGTCGTGTCGCGATAACACAGATCCTGAATACCGTGCGTGAAGTGATATGAAAGTACGCGTGAACAATTTGCGAAATTACTATTGTCGTAGATACTTTTCTAGTGTCTAATAAGTATTGCTTCGATGTGTGTAGCTGCAATGTAATCTGTTATCGTTACGAATCCTCGTTGTATCTTGATAAATAAATAGAGAGTGAGTCAAATGTTGAAATATTGAGATGTTTGAGAAGTTTCAGTTAAAAGGCAAAAAAGTAAATAAAATTTTTCTAGGCCAACTCAGAGGGAACATAACAATATGAAGTCTTGAAAATAAACCATGAAGTGGATACTACCTACCACCATAAAACGTTATCTGTAATTATAGCATCATGATCGGTAATTATGCTTGTTATTTCCGTTAGCTTTTTCTACGTAATTTTAATGATGGAAATAGCGTTCCGAAAATGGTATTTTGTTTAAGAAAAACCAAAAGTTTACTTTATAGTAAAACGGTCAATTAAAAAGTGAACATATTGAAGCGATCTATAATGTCTTTTGGATTTAAACAATAAATAGGCTTGCATTTCTTGTGTTCCCTTGTTGGGAAGGTCAGTTTAAAAAATGTAAATTTTTTCTGAAGCATACGATAGTTCAAGATAAATTGTACTTTTTTATCGTGTGTGCGATAAAATAATATCAAGATAAAGATGATATATCTTCATCCAGATATAATATCCTTTTAGTTTCCCACCACATTTTGTATATCCTTAGGTTACGAGACACAATCCTTGAAACATGAAATTTTGTTGCGCCAAGCAGGAACAAATTTATACGAAATGGAATTTAGAAGATAAATTACACATCATTTTAAGATTAGTTTATCCTCTCCGTTGATTCGATATAAACAAAGAAGGGGATTCACGCCAAGCTCGCGTCAAAACGCGGCCGTTTCATTAATCAATGCTTTGTACTTTATAATTTTATTAATAAAATAATTTTTGCTTTACACACATCTACGTACTAATAATCTAAATTAATTAAAATTAATTTAAAATGGCATTTAAAAAAATGGTATTTAAAATGGCACATTTTTGTTTTACTATGCAAACACGCAAAATGATTTACTTGTTACGGAAGATTTATTTATTATTGATATGAGTTATTTTAGCATAAA